ACTCCTGCTTTATCCTGAAATAGTGTCAAAAAGGGTTTACGTGAATGAGCTGAAACAATATGGCAAATAAGTCTTAAACTTGATCTTTGTTTGCACAAGTATTTAACAAAATATAATTATGCACCTAATGTATTGCCATTAAAAAAAAGAAAAACACCACCATGGCATTTTTTTATTCCTGGAGTCATACTTAGATTTTCTGGACTTATGCATACATTTCAGATAAGCAGGATTTCATGTACTGTTAACAAAATAGTGACACACAGGGAATAACAGAAAAGTGCACACTGAGGTGCTGTCACTGAAAACAGCATGAATTACACCCTTTATTTCAATAGAGTGGGAAATACATTCTCCTGGAACAAGATACGTGTGTAAATAAAAACAAAGACCTAGTGATATATGCAAAATTTTTCAGCTGGAAAAAAGTAATTTTAGGAAGTAAGAAGTTAGAAATATTCCCTTTTCCCTGCCTTTTCTTGTTCAAGTATAATGATCTATTTTCATTTTGTACATATTACCTTCCAATATCATCTCAGAAGGTGGAGGTAAATGTCAAAGTTATCACATGACAACTAATTTCAGATTAAATTCCAGTGTAACTTTAGGCTTACCTCCAGGACAAGCTTTTACCCATATAACTTCAGGTGCAAATTCAATGTGATATAATAAAGCTTTGCCAAAAGCACGTGCTTTAATTTAAGAGAGATTTATTTCAGCCCAGTCAATTAAGGAACAGGTTGATTAACTGAAGCAAGCATTCCTTATACCAAAATAAGACTCTGCAGAGCCCCTTGCATCATAAATCTGATCTCACACTTTGAATGTTAGGTTCTTGTGGTGCATGAGATTCATTTATGCAATGTCCACACTCTGGCAGAAATTTTAAGCTAAAGAATTGAAGAAAACCGACAGCTGAAGAAGGGTACAAAGTTCAGGATAATGTGCCCACTAGAGAAAGTAAAAAATGACATGTCCTATAAAGAGAATCAGATGCAAGTTTGTAAAGTTCGAGTAAGAAGTAACAAAATGTGTAAGCATTTTCTCAGCTGAGCGTGTGATTTTCTCTAAAATGCTGAGATGTTAAAACAATGGCACATGAAATAGAATGTCTGGTTTTAAGTCACATATGAAAAATCAGTTGCAAACTCAGGTACAAGAAGAATCTTCTGAACTTGGTGAAAACAAGTAGATTTTAGACACTCATAGCAAGTTATGAGATAGAAACCGCAGGGCAGGGCATATTTATGGGTGTATGATAGCATAGATTAAAAGTCATATTTGACTCAATGCTATCGAAATAAATCCTTTTGGATCAAAACTGCATGCCTAAATAGGAAATGTATTCCTGAGACAGCTGTAAACTGCCCAGCATAAATTGTGGTGCTTACTGAAACCTTAGGGGGTGTTAGAGAGGCTTGAAAGCAGCGTACAGCAACAGCAGGAGACTTCAGCTATGGGCATGCATGCAGCACATTGACACACTGAAGACTATATATACACCTGAAGACTAGGTATGGCTGTTTATCAGAGCAGCTAGCTTGAGAGACCACAAGAGGACCTGATCTAGTTTCAAGGAGCAGCACACTATTCATGGGTCATCAGAGAACTACAGAAAGCCCTTTCTGTAATAATGACCGCAATGTATTCCCATGCAACATCTTTATAAAGAGAAAATAAGGAAAAATGTCTTCTACAAATGTTTCAGAAGATGAGCTACATATAACAGCAAGGTCGATTAAAAGTACAGCTCACTGGGTAAAGTGCTGGCAGACTGCAGGAAGATAACACAACCGCTGAGTAAGTACATTCTGACAAAGCCACTGTAAGGATCTTTCTCCCCTCATTTCCAAAAATAGAAAAATAAAAAAAAAAAAAAACCACAAAACTAGTTCAAATGAAGATACGAGAAGGCAGTATAAGCTCTGATAAATTAAATGTAAAAACAGAAAAAAAAAAAAGCAAGTGAAGCCACTTACAGCAGGTATACACATGAGTAGGAAAAGGATTTCTAGCATATCAGAAGCAGAAAGCCTCTCAGGGATGCAGTGGGGGCAATAACTTATCAAAATACGAAAATAGCAGTGAAGGAATAGTTTAAAAAGTTATTGAGAGCTGCAGAAAGGTACTTATCCTTGGCTTCATTTTTCATTAGAAAGATCAGTATGGTCTTTACAAGTAGACATCTGGAGGACTTTCTGATATTTAAAGTGTCAATGGAGAAGACTTGAGAATAAAGAAATATATATTTGAAGTAAATCTCTTGGTTTCTCTCACTGTCTAATTGTGGACTACTTTACATCACAGTGAGCTGTGATACGTAAACAACTTAGGAAGAAAAAGACTGGACAGAGAGAAAACATATACAGGAAGACATTCAGCTCAGGGAGTCCCTAGAGGAATACTGAATCTGTTAGTGTCCTGGTTTTAGCTGGGACAGTTAGCTCTTCTTTTTAGCAGCTAGAAGAGCTCGTGTTTTTGGTTTTACTCAGAGGCTCGCTCTGAGAAGAATGTTGATAGCAAGTTGATGTTTGTGGTTGGACGTGAAACTCCAAGGACTTTTCAGTGTGCCGGAGTGCAGAAGCACGGTGGGATAAGGGAGGAGCATAGTTGGGACAAGG